GAGAAGGGGTTATTGGACAAAAACGCAGCCAGGAGCTGGATTGCATTTTTAACCACTAAGACAGATTTGTCATTGAGCCGCCCAACAGCCAGCGACAGCACAGACTGAAACTGAGTCAAAGGCAGGGCCTAGAACACAACAAGAGCACAGATAAAGTTATCAAGAAGGCTCAGAGACTTGGGAAGAGCTTACTGCAGACATATTAATGTACTAAAAAGCACAGATTATGGATTTACAGAAAAGTCTAGGGCTCAAAAGACCTCTGGATATATTCTGGTCCAAACTCCACTGAAAGCAAGCATTTAGGTTATCCAGGATACTGCTGAGTTGTCTTAGTATATATGGTAATTGTGATATTCTCCCATACCAGTGTGTGAAAAGAGGCTTTATGCTATGCTCTTTCTTCTAGTTTGTCCTGGTAAGAATGAGCAGTATCTAATTTTCACCCCCAGGTCCCCCACCCCTGAGATCTTTGGTCTCTTGGAAGAAACTGCAGACACCACAGTATAGAGGGACAGCACCTTTCTCTGTTAAAACTTCAATCTCTGCAAACAAAAAGCAGAGTGGCAGAAATTCCCTCAAGACACACAAGATGAGAAGAGATGACTGAATCAACACCATTTGGCCAACACAGACTTGCCCTGCTCTGCACGATGCGAGTGAAGAGCTGCAGCACGCGGCTGCGCACAAAGCTGTGCACATCACACTCGTGGGCCTGCAGCATATCCAGGAACTTGTCCCGAGTACCACGGGCAGCTTCCTCCAGCTGGTCACCACTCAGCACCTGCACCAGCACTTCTGCCATAGCTGCCAGAATGGCATTTCGCATCGTGTAACTCTGCCAAGACAGGAGTTGTTGAATTAGGAACAGACCAAAAGACATGATTTGATATGCCCAGAGTTTGGGCCTTCCAAATCCCAGGCTCCAGCCCTAAGTAAATGCCAGGGAATCTCAGAAAAACGGGAAACTGGACAAGACAAACGCAGATCTGAACCAATGTGGTTAATCAAACGTTCTCTGTTTATTCAAGATAAGATAGTAGTTTATATAAGCTTCTACATAGTTTACAAAAACAAAGGCACTCTGATTGGCAAGCTAACATTGTTTACCTTTTCCCTAAAGTGGCCTAAACCTTACACTATAAACCTATACTAATTCACACCCAGACAGCCCAGTGGTCCCCATCACACCTTAATACTATTTCTATTTGCACCACAAACTCTTAATTTCTAACTGCGTCAGAGGCTTGAAGGCCTCACAAGGCCCAAATCTGAGGCCTAGACTGGAGTAGCTCAAATCTCATAACTCATATCCTCTTTCTCTCAAAAACGCTGCAACAATAAGTGAATTTTTTCAGCATGGATATTGGATTAAGTTTGGGTGAACATAGCTGTGCATGCAAGACAGAGTAACTTTTGCTATGAAGACAGGCTGAGAGTTGGTCTTGTGCAGCCTGGAAAAGAGAAGGTTCTGGGGGAGGCACCTTCCAGGACCTAAAGGGGGCTGTGAGAGAGCAGGAGAGAGACTTTTTACCAGGGCATTCAGTGATAGGGCAAGAAAGAATGGCCTCAAAGTGAAGGTAGGTTTAGATTAGATATGAGGAAAAAATTCTTTACTGAGACTGTGGTGAGACACTTGAATAGGTTGCCCTGAGAAGTTGTGGATGCCCCATCCCTAGAACTGTTCAAGGCCAGGTTGGATGGGGCTTTGAGCAACCTGGTCTAGTGGAGAGTGTCCCTAACCACAGCAGAGGTGTTAAGGTCCCTTCCAACCCAAATCCTCCTATCCAGGTAGGTTCATAGAAACCAAGAACTGACACAAGAAACACAGCAGATAAAGAAAAGGTAACACAATGACAAACTCATCAAGTGCTGAAGAACAAGGGACAACAGCAGGGACATCACACGAGTAGGCAGTCTGCTGTTCTGTGACATCTGATAGTGACAACCAGACAGGAGATGCCATGGTTTCTGTTCCCTTTGCATCTTTTAGGTAAGGGCAGAATCTAATCCAACAGAGCAGGTATTGGATACTTGAGCTCTGTGGAAGAGGTTCTGTATCAGACAGAAAAACTGGATAGGAGCATCTCTACCGTTAGACTTTTCTGGACAGGTGACTTTGCAGAAATGTACCTCCCCATCCAAGTGAGGCAGGAGAACACTCATGTTGGAGAGCACCAGAGCTGGAATCTGTTCAGCCAGTTCACTTATAAAAGTAGCATAACCCTTGACTCCAGAAGCCTCACGAGCCAAATCCTGGGGACATTTCTGTCCAATTTCCCTGTACAGAAAGATGAAACAAGGAATGGGGTGCCTCAAGTTGCTAGGGATAAAAGGACAAGCCTCCAAGTATTTCTCTCACCTTAGCAGCTCACCCACCAGGCTTTTTAGACCATACTCTTTAGCCCAGAGGCTCACAGCCTGTGCAAACACTGGGGCTACATGTTCAAAGTGCTGCAGCATCTGCGTGATCTTCAGAGTGGCACCTTTAACGTGAGAAGGAAGAAAGAGGTCAGGGAAAGTAACTGGGGATGGCTTCAGGAAGAAGGCAGAAGGGCAGGAACTCACTGAACATGTGGTCACGGTGAACCAGAGCTGCAGCAAGCAGATGTGTCAGAGCCTCCCGCGTGACCCGGTACTTCTGAAGGCCGATACTTGGATTCTCCAGGATACGGTAGCAGCTTCCCGTCATTAAGCTAAACCCACAGAAGACAAACAGCAAACCTCACTATCTCAACTTGCACAAATATCATTCTAGCACACCACACATTTCTGTTTGAGAGATTCTCCAATGCCCTCTAAAAATTAGCAAGCATCTGAATTTTTTGTGGCCTACATGAGGAGAGGAAGTGGTTTCTATACACGTTGCTTTTGCCTTGAGCTATTTCCTAATATCCAAATTATCTGCACCCCACAGAGGGCTGTAATACCATCTCACTGGTAGAGCTATCATTTAACCTTTTATCCCTCAGAACCAGTTACTCATTCCACCAATACACCTGCTCCAACTCATACCTGACAAACTCTTCTTCCACTGCTAAACCACCCCAAAGCTGACGGAGATCCAGCTGCAGCAGCCGTGTAAGCAGCTGTAAAAGCGGCTCCCTTTCCTCTTCCCACAAGGATCCAGAAGTCTTGGCATGGTTCTTCCTGCTCTAGAAAGGAGATTACGCAGTGAGAAACATCAGCAGCTTCACAACAGACAAAACTCTGTCACTACCCTGCTTCCTTCCAAATATAAGAAATCTATTATAGCATTAAGAGACACACAGTGAGATTTGTGAGATCACAGGGGGCTTTCCCCCTCCACCAGTTTTTCTCTCTTAGCTCAGGCCAGCACCAGTGCCTTGTATGGTTTAAGGATTATATGTGCATCCGCTGCCACTACAGAAAGGAAATCTTACAAAAATACTGGCATACTATATTCCAACCAGAAACTGAAGAATGAAATAGAAAGGCCTGGGCATCCAAGTCCCTGCTGATATTTAGACACATGATTGTCCTTTGGCTGTTTTCCATGCACAGTTTCAGAGAAGCACCAGTGCTCCACATTATGCACTGCTCTTGCTGGCATCATGCTTATATAAACTCAGCTATAAATCTGACAGATACTACAGAGTTCAGCAAGCTTAAAATTTTATTCTGACTTTTATCACCTTTCCCCCAGTCTCTTCACCTACCTTCCTACCAGGATCTGCCTCCAAACAACTGTTATTGCAGGTTTCCATTTCAAAAGCATCCATCAGGCCAGTCAGCAAATAGCAGTTCATCTTAAGAGCATTGAGGTGAGCAGCGCGGTCTGCGTGGCTCAGCCCAGAGTCGCTCAGGATAGCAGGAAGATCATTGGAATGATGGGACACCACTGAGGAGAAGCAGAAAGTCGTGAGCACTCCCTGCCAGGTCCCTCAGCAATCCTCTCTTTGGGAGGCTAGAGCAGCCATCAGATTACCAAAGATGTGTGCTCACATCTCACCAGCTGTAACATGGGCTGCCCCCTGCAACCCAGACCTTGGGCGTGCTGTCTTGTCCTATCCCCACAGCCCTCCGTCAGCTCAGAGAAACACTCGCTCTGAGCTGATACATCCCACAGATGTTATTTTCCAGGGACAAAGAGGATTTTCTGTTGGTCTGCCCTTACAGCGAACATGCACAACTCAGCATCGTCCACCAAGATTACAGACCCGTATGACAGGAGTGGGCTGAGGGTGCAGCCCAGCTGGCCGAGTCACATTAGCCTTTATATCATCATTGAGCTGCCAAGGGAGAACAACCTCTCCGTTAGTCCTGCGTCGGCCGGAAACAGCGGGTACCCACCGTGCATCATCAGCTCCAGGGCATCCTCCTTGACAGCCGTGCCCACGGTTCCGAAGTGGCTGCGGGACAAACACGGGGCGTAAGGGCGGCGGGCAGAGCGCGCCTGGGAGAGGCCGAGCGCCCGCCCCTGCGCCCCGTCCCCGCCCGTACTCACTGCAGCACGCTGTACACGCAGTCGAAGTGCTGCAGCACGGCCAGCGCGCCCTGCGCACGGAAGGCGGCCCGGAAAGCTGCAGCAAAACACGGAGAGAGGCGGGGGGATGGCCGTGAGCCGGCGGCAGGGCCGGGCCCGACCGGGAAGGGGATGTGGGGACACCTTACCGGCGAGTGCGGGCGGCAGCTCGCGGGCGGACAGCACCTCCCGCACCACGTAGCGCCCGGGGCCGCCATGCTGCAGCAGATCGGCGGGAGCGAGGGGCAGGCAGAACTCCCGGACCGCCGCCATGGCCGCCACAGCCCCGCACGGCCCCGGGCGCTCGAAACAGCGCGCGCGAACCGCGCTCGCCCCGCCCCTTCCCGCCACGGGCCTATCAGCGCCCGGCGGCTGCGCCGCGCGCCGGCCCCTCGCCCAATCGCCGGCTCCCCTGCCCTCCCGACCGTTGGCGCGACGTCACGCGCGCGCCTCGGCGCTCCGCGGCGGAAGGGGCGGCCCGGCCGCTCCTCCCTCCCCGTCCCGTCCCGTTCCCGGGGCACCGGGGTTATCCCCATGGCGGCGGCGGCAACGCTGCTGCTGCGAGCGGCGGGCCGCGCCCTGCTGGGCCGTGCCGCTCCCCTGCCGTGCGCCCAGCGGGGCTTTAGCGACTGCGGCGGGGCGCGCTGGGCGCCCGCGCGGCCCGGCCTCCCCGTGCCGCTGTCCTCGCCCCTGGCGGGGCTCTCCCGGCCCATCCGCATCAAGGAGCCGCCCAAGCGCAAGCCGGTGGATCGGTGGACGAAGAAACGGGCCTTGTTCGGGGTGTATGACAACGTGGGGATCCTGGGTAAGGCACACACCCCGCCCGCACCGCCCCGGGGCAGGAGGGGAGGGAGGCTGGACTCGCTTCTGCCAGCAGCCATAGGGCAGGGAGGATTTGGGCCGGCCGCCCTGGAACAGCCTTTTCCAGTGCCTGGCTTCATCTGTCTCTCCTGTTCTCAGGCGGCTTCCAGATCCACCCGAAGAGTCTCATCATGGGGCCCACTTGGCTGCGCGGCTGGCGGGGGAACGAGCTGCAGAGGTGCATCCGCAAGAAGCAGATGGTGGGTGACCGCATGTTTGCGGAGGACTATCACAAACTCAACAAGAGGATCCGGTACCTGTACAAGCGCTTCAATCGCACTGGAAAGCACCGCTAGGGAACAGAAGTGGCCTCAGCCTGTGGAGTGGAGTTTTGTGGCATTGCAGTTATAATAAAGCCAGCTTCCACACAATTGAATTCCCAGTGCTTTTTACAACCTTTGCTGCCTATTTCTACCCAGGTCCCAAGGGCCTGCTGCTTCTCCAGGCCTGAGCTCCTCTGTGCCCCCTCAGCCATTTCTGATGTACTTCTTGCAGGCATCTGTTACAGCCTGCATCCCTGAACTTGACCCTATGCTCCTCTGTTTTTTTGGCCAGGCTTCTGGCATCCTTTCAGTCTCTGAGCCCCAGCTTCACACATCTAAGATGACAATTCCAATATTCTTCAACTCAGATTTTTCCTCATAGCCAAATTTTTCAAATTACTACCACTAAGTCCTGCTAATATGTCTTCCTGCTCATGGCTTTCCCCCTTGCCCTCCACTCGTGTGTGGTTAAGTGTGAATGATCCAAATGTTAGTTGAAATGCATCAAAACTTGTCTTAAGAATGGGATTTGTCTCATTCTACACTCATGATGACTTTAGCCCCTGCTAATAACATTTAATGACCAAATGGCTTTTTGTTTATAATTTAGGCAGGATTTGCAAAAGTAAATCAGGTATTTAAATGTTTTTAAAAATTCTAGTTTTCCGTAACTGTTGCTAGTTCCTTTAGAGGAGAAGTTACGGTGAGTTACAGCTGGCATCCCTGTAGTGCAACATCACACCACTGTACACGTGGGAAAAATCCATTAGATGAACAGGCATTTGCATACAAATTCTGCCTTAGTTGCTAATTTAGCTGCTAAGTAATCGGAGTTATCTTCTGACTTGTATCTTGCTGCAGAGCAATGCTGCTCTGTCTCCAAAAGCATTTGGTTGGAAGCAGCAGGGAATGAATGGAAAGAATTTTCTTTAGGCATAAGGCTGAGGAAAGTGAAGGCACACTCTTGTTTAAACAGCTCAAGTCCACATTCTCAGTGGCAGGGTGACAGACCTGTCAAAAGGTGGTGAGAATTCAGGAAACTTGCACAGATCAAGTGGAGACTGAGCAGGTATAGCAAGTCCTTGACCAAAAATAATGTCAGAAACTGGAAAAGTATCAAGAGAAAGTATCTTGTACCATTTTTCATCTCTTAATCCCTAAGCACCAACCTGGCAAAAGCTCAGAGGACGCTAATGCCATAAGCTCAAACTTATTTGCAGTGGTTATTGGAATGGTCCTCAGACTGCAGAGGAAAGGCTGCCAGGTTACAGAAGCTTCTTCCTCAACTTGTCCCTTCTGTCTGCAGGCAGAGTGTAAAAACCTGGAGTTCTGAGGTCAGTGCTAGTCTGCTCCTATCTGCAAATTACCTGTCTCTAGTCACAATGCTGCATTATTCTTCACCTTGTAACCACGATCTTCTAGTTACCCTGCTGTAATCTGAAACATACCTGTCTTGTCTACTTAATAATCTGTGAGATCTGACACTAAAAACCTACGTGAACATCCTGCTTCACCTTAAGGAAGGAAAAGGTAGTGTAAATGTGAGCCTACACTTCTCACTCTCTACTCACCACGCAAAACTCTGTATGAAGAGTCTTCTTGTTCCGGTACACTCCTGTCCCCTTTTTTGTCCTGAGCTGGAAAATCTCCCCTTCTGATCCAGCAGGCTTCTCCAGATATTTAGACGGAAAAACCCCATATTGTTCTTAGGGCTGTTGCGGGAGCCTCATTTCTCCCAGTAGGCTGCAGAAGCTTGACTGGGACTTGTTCAGCTTCGCTTTCATGACGTGCTGTATGCTGGAAGTGGGCCAGCGACACCATCTCTTAATTGCAAGGACAGCGGCTTAACCAGAGCCAACAGACACACTGCGGATTTCGGGAGGCTCCAAAAGGAAAACCGAACGGGGCAGGTAACCACGACCAGGCCCTGCGTGACCTACACGGAGCGCGGCGGAGCCGCTCGGGGCTGTCGGGGCCGGCGGTCCCGTGGGTGGGGAGCGGAGCCGTGCGAGCCCCCGGCCCGGTGGGGCGGAGGGAGCGGCGGGCGCCGCGGGCACCGCGGGACCTCCGCAGGGGCGGGGCCAGGCGGGGGCGGGGCGCGGGGCGCTGCTCCCATTGGACAACCCCGCGGCGGGGCGGGGGCGGGGCTAATATTACGGCCCTTTCCGTAGGGCGCGGGGCGCTGATTGGCTGAGGAGGAACCCGGGGCGGTGCCGAGCAACTTTTGATTGGCTGCAGGCTCTGTGGGCGGGGCCCGCCCGCTATAACTGCGGGGTCCGGGGGCGCGGGGGGCTGTCGGTGCGGAGCTCCGTTCGCCGTGTGCCCCGGTTGTGCCCGGCCCGGCCATGTGAGTGTCCGCCCGGCCGGCGGCGAGCTGTGGTGGGCGCGGTGCGGGGGTGGCGGCTGCAGCGTAGGGGACGGGGGTCAGTGCAGAGCCCGCGCCCTGGCCAGCGGCGGTGGGGTCGGGTGGCGCATTGCAGCAGCCGCAGGCAGGGCTGCCCGCACCGCCCACGGGCTGTCCTGCTCCCCTGCTGACTGCGTGGTGAGTGGGTGCGTGGGCAGTGCCCCAGTGGCGATGTGCGGAACCCCAGCGGGAGCCAACCTGGCCGGCGGTCACCACTGCGCCCAGCCCGGTGGCTGCCCAGTCCCCCCGGGGTCCCCCCGCGCTGCCTCCCGGTCCCTCTTCCCCCACCTTCCTGCCCCGTATCCTGCTCACGTCCGTGCGGCCAGCTCGCTGTTCCCCCTGGGAGGCCACAGCGCTTGGCGCGACCGCACCCGCAAGCTCCTTCGACGAGGGGCTTGTTCCGTTCCCGCTGCCCCCTTGGGCTTGCCGCTGCTTTGGGCTCTCCCACGAGCCCGCCTGTTCCCATCCGGCGGGATCCAGCGAGGCTGCAGCTCCCGAGGCTGCTGCCAGCGCTGCTGCAGCCTGGGACACTGGGGTTCGTGTGGGTTTGGGGGCGTTCTCTCTCGAGCGGCTGAATGTTCTCTTGGCTGATGTGTGTGTTCCCGTAGGTCTGACCCAGCTCAGCAGCCTGCTCCCGGGGCTCCCGAAGGAGGGGCTCCCGAGGGAGGTGCTCCCGAGGGGGCAGCCCCCGGCGGGGGTCCCCCCGGGGCTCCCCCCAATCTGACCAGCAATCGCCGCCTGCAGCAGACACAGGCCCAAGTGCAGGAGGTCAGTAGCTCTGCCAGCCCCGATGGGTGCCTGGGCTCTCTCCCACTGCTCTGCAGCAGCGATGTTCTTAACCGGTGTCTGTCGCTGAGGGGGTGGCTTTTTTGTCATGCCGAAGCCAGAAATTAATTAATGCTCCCTACTGAAAAATAGGGTGGCAAACTATTAAAGAAGCTGGAGGAGAGATTGCTTTACGTTTAAAAGCGTCTTAATGCCAGATATGACTTCCAAGGACCAGGCTTGCTAGATTCTTTTGGTACCTCGTTATCGCGCATCTCTTATGGTAATAAAGCTGTACAGCATCCAGGACAGCTCTTAGTCCCTGCGGGCTGCTTCAAGGGAACGCAGTGTGCAGTGATGGGGAATCCCTGCCTGGCTTCCCGGGATCAAAGCCGGTGGTTGGCTGCTGCCTCGCAGTAGCACCTTTGTGCCTCACCGGGGCAGCAGCACGAAGCTCATAAGGCGATTTTGCATCTCTCGGGGAGTGAGGGAGCGCACGACTCCTCTCGTAAGCAGGTGGCTTTGGCTTGCTGCTGGAATGGAGAGCTCTTGGAAGCAGATGAGAATGTGAGACTTAGGACCTGACTGAATTGTACTTGAACTGATATTTTAACAGTGACTCTCGGATTTTTTTTTCCCATTTTAAAGTAGGCACTGACTTGAAATTACTTATTTCTCTACCCTGATCTTCCCCTCCCCCTTCTTCATGTTTTTTGTTCGTTAGTATTGCAACATCAGTTATTGGCTAAGTTTTTCCTCTTACAGTTTCAGCTGTCTTTGCCAATACAACTGCTCCCGCTATTCTTCCTTCTGCAGGTGGTTGATATAATGTGTGTAAATGTAGACAAGGTGCTGCAGCGAGATGAGAAGCTGTCAGAGCTGGATGACCGGGCAGATGCACTTCAGGCTGGTGCCTCAGTGTTTGAAAGTAGTGCAGCCAAACTCAAAAGGAAGTACTGGTGGAAGAACTGCAAGGTGAGTTTCTTAGTGCCATAATCTTGGCAAGAGGGAACTGGGCTACTCCTCTCCTGCAGAGCTTTCAAGTATAGCTGGGGCTTACTAACAGTTTCAAATGCTTAAGATTCTTTCACTGTGGGAAGGCTTTGAGGCTTTGGCTGTCATGCCTTTGGAACCTGGCTTAGGTTCCCTGGCTGTCAGGAAGAATGGGAGCTTGTCAATCTGTTCTGAGTATTGCTCTTGGACAATCTTTTTCTTCAGATGATGATCATGATGGGAGTGATTGGTGCCCTTGTGGTGGTGGTGATTGCAAGTAAGTACCAAAAACCTCAGGCTCAAAGGTGAGGAAACACCAACTCTAGAGTACTTTAAACTTTTCCTTTTTGTTTTGAGATCTTGAGGGTCTTAGTTGCATAAGTGTCAACTCCAGTCTTTGGGAAAGGGAGGTAGAAGTGCTGGAACTCCCTCACTTAGTGTGGAAATGGTATGCTTTACCTAGTAATATGAGGAATGGGGAATGCCATCATTGTAGAAATGGGAAATTCTGCCTGCCAGGTCCGATAAACCTGTAAGTATGAAGGGCATTTACCCTGGAGTGGGTGGGTTGGCAAGTTCCTTTCCTGGTGGGTGGTTTGGAGCTCTCTGAGGGACCATTGGTGTAACTTGCCCTTTTGTTCTTTCCTTTTTCCTATTGCTTTGTCTCCAGTCTACTTTTTTACTTAAATATAGCTCCTTCAGTCTGCAACCTCCTGTCCTCTATTACCATGCCTGTCTCTTCTTGCCTCTGAATTTTTCTTTTCCTTCCCTTTCACCTAGCTTCTTCATTGATTTCTTTATTGGTTTTAATTTATCTTCTGTACAGGGCTCTGAGCCGCTTACTAAACATAGGTAGACTTTTCAATAGCTGCTGCAGCTTTAGGGAGCGTCCTCTAAGTTTAGAGGAAAGGGAAGCTGAGGAAGAGTGGGTAGCTATTTGCTCCTG